CTGCGCATGAACGTCGATCCGTTTCTAAACCACAGCGAGAAGGAAGTCTGGGAAGTACTAGAGAAGTGCCACTTAAAGTCCTGGGTCGAGAGTCTTCCAAAACAGTTGTACCAGGACCTCGCGGACTGTAGTGCGACGTTGGGTCCCAGCGAACGACAGCTAATCTCATTTGCGCGTGCGCTACTACACAAAAGCAAGATCGTGATAATAGATGAAGCTACATCCAGTGTGGATTATCGTACTGATCGTCTTATCCAGGAAGTGATCCGTACCTGGTTTATCGATTGCACTGTCATCACCATCCCACATCGACTGAGCACGATTATCGACTATGACCGCGTCATGGTCTTGGAGCGAGGAAAGATTGTCGAGCTGGACAAACCGGAAGTCTTGCTGAAAAGGAACGATGGTTATTTTGCCCACTTATATGGAAATCAATGTCCGTCATGATTAATTAAGGAACACTAAAGACTTAAAAACACAGTAGAAAGTAAAACATCGAACTAGATTTAACCTGGTGGCCAGAGCACCACCTTGTAAAATACGCCCTGTCTTACAAGAATATGAAAAATATAACGTACGGTAAACTGGCAAGAACACATACTTTTACCTGTAACAAGTAAGTAAAGCGCGCATGTGCAGTCTTTATTTTAGCTTTTCCTCATTAAACTTAATTCCAGCGTTGGATTAGGCATTGGCCAGTTGATAGTGCTGAGAGTCGACCGTAGTACCAGCTATGACTAATAGTGACCTAATCTTGTCCGGTAGACTGTATGCTTAGTCAAATCAACTGGTGTCCAGTTTGAGTAGACTGAAATGAAAATTGATATTTCTCAATGTGTAATTAATTTAAAGTATTAGACAGTGATTAGAGGGCAGTATCTAAGCAAATTCTACTTAAAAATGACGTTGTTTGTGATTTCATAAGGTGTTTCATATGATTCTGGCTACCATATATTGTCATAAGAATTTATAGTAATTCCAAAATTTTCATTGTTCTTAGTAATCGTGAAAAATATGGTAAACATTGTCGCGTTAACCATTTATTGGTTATAAAAATCTGAGCAAAGATGAATCGGTATTCATAAGTAATATGACCGAATATTAACGACGAATTGTCGTTTTTGCTCATCAAAGCTGTGGTTAACGACTGAATACGGTTACTTTGAAGAAAAAAATGAAAATCAAAATGGTAAATAAAATTATGTAATTGCTCAGATTTATTTATCTTGTCACGAGCAATTAAAAAAAATACGAATCATTTTCAATGGTTTCGTTACTGTCTTGTCGACATTTAGTTGCTGTTCAGTCTCAGGTTGATAATTGCACAGGCCTCAGCAAAGATTTTACCAGTCACTGGGTGGATAGGCCCCGGATGTGTAAAAGGTGGAATAGTACTACCAAACAGAAAAATTTCTACCCAGGAAATAACACAGTTACGTTTCTTATACCCTCCCACGAAGGCGTTTTTAGGGTAGCTCGTCTTGGAGAAAAACGAACTCCCCTAAAACGCCTGCGTGGGAGGCAACGTTTCTTAATACTTATCTACTGGATTCTGATTTATCCGGTGCATACAACCGGGGCTACCCTGAGTGTCAATCTACGAGGATTCAAAGAGTAACCTGCTACACAGCCGTTTTTAGCGTCGTCACGCAACGTGACGATAGTGAAAACGGCTGTGTAGCACACTACACAAAGAGAGGCGTTTAAAAATTCACGAATATTATTAAAAAGATCTCTTTATTTGAAAGCAATTCACAATAATTTCACCTGCACTAGGTAATCATATAAAATAAAGTTTGACAAAAGCGCATTTAACTCCGTTGTAAAGCCGATTACTTTGGCTAAAAGAGAGACTGTTGCTGATCATTTTTCGAGCGTACTATATAAAAATCAGTTATCAGTTGAATCCTTAAGTCAGAGGAATAGAATAAGGCTGCAAAAAAAGGCCTATTGCATTATGCCCTTGTGGTTCTGATGAAAAGTTTACTTTCGAGGAAACTGTTCAAAAAACTTACTTGAAAGACTCAGGGTAAGAAATGATGGGCGGGAAATTTCTCACCACCAAGTTATAAGAAATTACATACAAAGACAGTGGTGAT